ACCCTTTTTTTCTATCGAAAGCAGCTTTCGACGTGTGACAACTCTTTTAAATGCATATTAAAAGAGAAAAGTCGCCACCTAACGATTTTGAGGTGATTTAGGGCAACTATTTGCAAATAATTTTGTTTAACTAGTCTACGTCACCAAAGATTGGGTAAGGACTCAAATTACCTAAAAGAGAAGGTGTTAGGCACTTTTCGAGGTCCACAACTATAGTTCCCGGCCGAAGTTTAAAGTATGTGGGATTTAAAGGCTCTATTATGAACAGGTGCAAAGAAAGTCAGGCAACAATTAAACCATAGATAATTAATACAAATCTATAGACGTTGCAAGGTACAACTTAATTATTCTATATTCGATGACTAAGTGTGAAAAAAAAACATATTAAGAAGGGGGGAGGGGGTCCTAAGTTTTTTAGCCTAAAGGATCACCCCGTGCAACATATAATACTTCGCAACTCCCTTAAGGTAGGGGTTGCTTGTATTATTGAGCGGGCACAAACTATCATCTCCTGCTACTTGATTATTGTGTTAAAGTTATTAACCTAAAGACACTCTAATTCAATTATAGGTCGTGTCCTAGGCCTGTATTACACGTCCCATGCCTATGGTCCAGGAGGCTTTGGACCTACTATTAGATTGTTCTAGACTCTACTTAGGATGCTCAAAAAATGATAAAACTAGCGCACATTCAGAACATATAGGACTTCACATAAATGCAATAAAAGGCTCAAGTGAACCCCCCACATATAAACAGCGAATACACGCGGCATATTAGGCATGCTATCTAATAGCGTATAGAAGTGGAGCATGTGAACAAGTGAAGCACTTATATTCTTATAGGCATGCTTTCTATCAGTGTGCAGAAATAGAGCATGTCAAACAAATAAAGCACTTAGACCCTATAGGCATGTTTTCTACCCTTTTTATGGAAGAATAGAGTACACCCTTTTCCCCCAATTTCACTAACTCCCCAATTGTTTTTTTACAAATCATTACAGGCCCAAAATAAAGAATTCATGCTTAAATATTACAAACTAAAACAAATACATGCCCAATAAATAGAGCAGGCCCAAAGGAGAATAACCCAGCAACGTCGAGGCTTTCAATAAGCTCATTCTTCACACAAATAGCAAACCCAGATCTAGGTACACCCCAAAATATTAGAGTGTATTGGTTGCATGACTCAAACTTAGACACAGACCCATACTAGGCCTGAGGGGAGGACTAACTTACCCAGTAATGCCAAACTCAACCATATGAGTAACAAACTATACATGGGATTAATTAAATAGCTTTTGGAAGTCTACACACTGAATTATCAAGAGTATAACTAACAATAGTTCTCACTAAAAGATATTGATAAGTTCATAGGGCATGCATAAGGCAGGTTCATGCTTGCATTTTCAGTAGCTAAGCTGATCGGATTGACCATCATAGGATAACAAACTACTTCAAGTAAAGTTTCAAAGCAAAGCATAGTCCAGAATTAGCATAAAGAACTTCAGACATTAGATTTTAGTAGAATTATAGATAGGGAACCAATAGAGCACAGTCCTCACATGAAGATGTATAGCACGAGAACCTAATGAAAATGGCATAACCAAACAGGTTGGTGGATATGGTCTGCAAACAAACATTAATTGAGCATGAAGAGACTCGAACATGCTAAATACCAGTCATAACACAAAAGCTTAAACCACACCAGAACTCATAGTAGGCAAGGATACCTCAAGAACTGGATTATCAGACCACACACAGGAGAAAAGGCTAGATATTACATTGTTTACCTTGTAAGCCATAGGTGGGACTAAACAACATAGGATTAAACTAGGCATGGAACATACATTAAAGTTCACAATTAGCAGGGTAACACATTTTGGATAAAAATAGTTGAGAACTTAATTTAGTAGAGTATTAAGTTACACAGGAATGATCCAACAGGAACTAGAACACATGAATTAGTCTATAATAAGAATGCAGAATAAGGTAAGGAGATCATCTCAGGACGAGCAGCAGGTATAAACATTCAGACACAAAAAATACACTAGGCTAGACATGCTCGAGGTAGTGAAAATCATTCATGCTGAACACATACAATATGCATACATCGAAGGAAGAAGTTAGGCAAGTTCAAAGGCCAGAAAAGTTCAGAGCCATGAAACAACAGGGAAATATAATAGCATATTGGTTCACAAAAGTTTAGGTGCCATAGATGTAGAGACCATGAACATAAACGAAAGAGAATGAAATTTCTAGGGCCAAATATACTTACCAGTTGTAGATGAACAAACAAATAAATAAGAAGAAACAGTCCCAGTAATACTCCAATCGTCAATAGCAAAGAGCAGCAGAACCCCAAAATCCCAGTGCGTCATAGTTCCCAATGGTTTCAAGTGAACCCCGGGCAGTGCTCACACTGAGAAAGGGCAACAATCAAATTCCTATGGCCTTCAGTTTTTGCTGGCCAAGGTCTCAAAATAAAGAACAGTAGAATGAGTAAGAGTGAGAGAGCAATAGCAGTAGTTTTAAGTGGTAATCATTGCAGTAGTCGTTAAGACTTAGAGGGCGAGCGGGGGAAGGGGGTTTATATAGTAGTAACAATTGAACGAACAAATAAGGAAACATAGTTAATAAAATATAAATAAGGGAAGAGAAGCATGCAAAATCAATTCCGAATTAATTAAGTATATAATCGAGCAAACCCTAATTTAACAAGGAGTCAAAATTAGCCGAATATCTTGATGAATTGGACCCATATAACCTAGTTATTGAGTGTATCAGATCAATAACATGGTGATTATCCAGAATAAAAGCTAAACAGACCTCTCAAATATCAGCTTCCTTAAATAACTCAGTGACAAACGAACAATACCAAAGAAATGGGAAAGAAACATTATGGTTACTGAAAAAGGAAGGAAAATATGGAAGTTCTTCATATCGTTTTAGGTAGAATCTTAGGATTTGGGTGGGGCGGCTGCTAGGGTATCTCAGAGAAGAGGATAGGAAGAGGATTTGAGGGTAGCTGTCTCAGAAGAATGGGTGTTAGGGTTTGGGGCGAGGGTTATTAAAACGAGGGAATGGCTGTGGGCCGTTGATCATTTGAGATCAAAGGCCAGGATTAGAAGAGAAGAGGGGCGATACGTAGAACGCGTCCCGATCGGGTTATAATTAAAGGGCTCATTTGGTTTGGACCAGGGCAGATTGGGCTAAGGTTTGGGCCAGCTTTTGGTCCGAAAATCGGCTTAGGATTGGGCTATGAAATTAAATATGCAAAATTGTTTAAAATAATTTATAAAAGTGATTAATAAATAATAAGAAAATTATTTATGTAGTGCAATGCTGGGAAATAATAGCTTAACATTCCAAAAATATAAAAAAAATGCTATTTTAGTATAAACAATGTAAATAATGTTGTTATGTATAGAATATAGACTATTATTGCAAAATTATATAAATAGCTCAAAATACAAAATGTAATTATATGAAATAAAGTAAAAAATATTATAAAACATATATGTGGGTGTAAATAATAAATTTGGATGATTAAGTAATCACAAAATAATTTGAAACGGTAATTAATAAATATTTAAACAATTTAAATGCAAGAAAATCAATTTTAAAGCCTTAAAAAAATACAAACAATTATGGGAAATACCTATATGACTCATGTAAATTGGTGATGATGTAAAATGATATTTTGAAAGTATATATGATATTTATAAAATATGAGGGCAAAATTGGGTATCAACAACTACCCCTATTTACCCGAGAATAATGAAAGAGTTGTCGGGTAAAGAAAATGATGATCAATTTTGTCCGAACTGAGTGAGGATGATGTGTTTTTGAAAAAATGGCTACCGAACCCTAATTCCTGAGTTGCCTACATATCCCTGGTGTTATGGGAATCAGGTTGTGTATAGTTCTGGATCCAGCGGCGAATGAAACCAATGGAGTTATTATAAGCATGATTATATGCTTCGAGGAAAGGTCTCATATATAGGATGGTGTCATGAGTAACGGATAATTTTGTGTGGAGCTATGAATGTGAATTTGAACGTTATGGATATTTGAGGTAAATGTTTGAACGTTTATGGGACAAAGAGTAAACAATTGTTGATTGTCGGCTACGTTTGAGATGATCGAAGGGCGTGAACATTGTGAACACAAATTTGACACGATGCATGCGAATATATATGGGGTTATTGCAAAAATTTAAACATGATGCAAATTTCCTTCGGATCATGAGAGTTGTCTTTGGACGATGAGGATGATGTCCATAAACCATGACGTCCTGAACTTTTGAAGCGTTTGATAAGGGATTCGCAGGCCATGAAATGGTGTCCTCGGGCCATGAGGATGGTGCCTCTAGACTATGACGCCTTTGAATAATGATGTGCAGTTTTGAGAGATCCCCAGGCCATGGCATGATGTCTTTAGGCTATGAGGATGATGCCTTCAGACTACGCCTTTGGACAATGTGGCGATGTTTCAGCCTATGAAATGCAAAGATGCGGAGATATCGATCTTTTGATAGAGGGAACAACTGATGCTAGTTGTATGTGAGAACGAGACAAGGCATCGCTTAGCCTTGTATATGATGAGGGCAGTATTTAGCCTCCAATGCTTAGCCTCGTATAATGTAATGGAGACAGTGCCTAGTCTCATGCAAGGGAAGGCGGTGCTTAGCCTTATGCAATGCTGGAGGCAATGCTTAGCCTCATGCAATATAATGGAGAGAGTGCTTAGTCTCGTGTAAGGAAGGCTATGTTTAGCCTTGTGCAATGATGGAGGCAATGCTTAGCCTCATGCAATGTAATGAAGACAATGCTTACTCTCATGCAATGTAATAGGGGCAGTGCTTAGCGACTTTTGTCGGTGTGAAGCTAGTGATCTTATTGTATGTATATATTTGCGGACATGCTTGTTATGTCCATTGTGCCTGCACCCAAATAAAAATCATGAGTTATGGGGGGAAGGTTGCTCCGTGCCTTTGATTCTTCATTTCGCCTTTGCTCCTTGGCTTGCTGCCTTTTTCAAGTCACCCTGGGGATCAATTGGCTACAACAGAAAATGAATTTTTCAAAAATATGTGATGATGCATAAAATAGATAATTTTGTCGAATCGGAGACTGTGACATGCTTTGAGACATTGTGTCCTTCTTAATTTTGAATTTTGAGGAACCTTCTCAAAATTCTGCCCCAGTTTAATGTATACTCCCGGCAATACACTTCTTGGCGATCTTTGACGTAGTGCAAACATAATCTTAAACATAATATCTCTTGACTGCATCTTAATTGATAGGTTTTGGCAATATTTATCCATCTATCTCTACAAGTATCAGAGCTCCTCCTGTTAGTACTCGGTGAACCATGTAAGGGCCTTGCCAGTTAGGTGAGAATTTCTCTTTTGCTTCGTCCCGATACAGGAAGATCCGTTTCAACACCAATTGCCCCGGTGTGAATTGCCTCGATCTAACCTTTTTGTTGAAAGCCTTTGCCATTCTATTTTTGTATAGTTGACCGTGACACACTGCATTCATCCTCTTACCAACAATAAGAGCCAGTTGCTCATACCGGCTCCGTGCCCAATCTACATCGCTGAGCTCGGCCTCTTGTATGATTCTTAGGGAAGAAATCTCCACTTTGGCGGGTATAACAACTTCAATACCGTAAAGTAGTAGATAGGGGGTTGCCCCAGTTTGCATACGAACAGTGGTGCGGTACCCGAGCAAAGCAGATGGTAGCTTCTCATGCCATTACTTGTAGTTGTCCACCATCTTTCTTAATATCTTCTTGATGTTCTTATTGACGGCCTCCATGGCTCCATTCATCTGTGGCCTGTATGCTGTAGAATTTCGGTGCTTGATCTTGAATGTTTCACACGTGGCTTTCATCAGATCATTGTTGAGATTGGCACCATTGCCGGTAATGATTGACTCAGGTACTCCAAATCGACAAATAATATGATCCCGAACGAAATCTGCTACGACCTTCTTATTCACAGCTTTGTAGGAAGCGGCTTCAACCCATTTTGTAAAGTAATCTATAGCCACCAAAATGAACTTGTGTCCATTTAAAGCAGCGAGCTCAATTGGTCTGATGACATCCATGCACCAGGAAGAGAAGGGCCAGGGTGAACTTGTTGCATTGAGTTCGGTGGGCGGCACTCGTATCATATCAGCATGTACCTAGCATTGGTGACACTTTTGAACATATTTGATGCAGTCTGTCTCTATGGTCATCCAAAAATACCCTGCTCTTAATATATTCTTAGCCAGAACAAAACCATTCATGTGAGGTCCGCAAGTTCCGGCGTGTATTTCTTCGAGCAATCTAGATGCCTCTTTGGCATCGACACATCGTAGCAATCCAAAATCAGGAGTTATTCTATATAGAATTACTCCACTCTAAAAGAAATGGTTGGCCAATCTTTGAAGCGTGCGCTTCTGAGTTTGTGTGGCATTTTCTGGGTATTCTCCTTTCTCCAAATACTCTTTGATATCGTGAAACAATGGATTTCTGTCAAACTCTTCTTCAACATGAGCGCAATAAGTTAGTTGTTTATGAATCTCAATCTGGATAGAATCGATGAAATTCTTGTTTGGATGTTGTATCATGGAAGACAAGGTAGCCAATGCAGCTGCGAACTCGTTCTGAATCCTCGGAACGTGTTTGAATTCTATCTTTGTGAACCTCTTGATCAAATCTTGCACAGAATTTAGGTATGGCAATATTTTAGTGTTTTTGGTAGCCCATTCCCCTAGTACTTGGCATACCAATAAATCTGAATCTCCGATCACCAGCAACTCATGAATATTCATGTCGATGGCTAATTTGAGTCCCAAGATGCAATCCTCATATTCTACCATATTGTTGGTGCACGGGAACCTGAGCTTTGCAGATACCGGATAATGTTGACCGGTTTATGATACTAAGACTGCCCCAATGCCCAATCCCTTGAAGTTGGTTGCTCCGTCGAAAAACATCCTCCAACCATCATATGTTTCGGTAATATCCGCACCTACAAATGACACTTCCTCATAGGGAAAATACGTCTTCAATGGTTCGTATTATACGTCTACGGGGTTCTCTGCCAAGTGATCAGCCAATGCTTGTCCCTTGACTGCCTTCTTGGTCACATAGATAATGTCGAACTCACTTAGCAATATCTGCCACTTTGCTAACTTACCCGTAGGCATGGGTTTATGAAAGACGTATTTTAATGGTTCCATCCTTGATATAAGATATGTAGTGTACACACAGAAACAATGCCACACCTTCTAGGCTATCTATGTCAAAGCACAACAGGTGCGCTCAAGCAAAGAGTACCAAGCCTCGTAAGGTGTGAACTTCTTACTTAGATAATATATCGCCTGCTCTTTCCTCCCGATTTCATCATGTTGCCCCAGGACGCAACCAAAATCTCTGTCCAACACAGACATATACAACAACAAAGGTCTTCGTGGCTATGGTGGGACTAACAACACTGTCCACCTTATCACATCATCTTTCCTTTATTTTTTCAAAAGTACTCCATTATTTTGTCAAAAGCCTTTTGACATTCTCCGGTCCAGCTTGTCGCAACGTCTTTCCTTATCATCTTGAAGATAGGCTCACATACCACCATTCACTGTGCTATAAAATGACTGATATAATTGAGGCATCCCAGAAAACTTATCATATCCTTCTTGCTCTTTGGTGGTGGAAATTCCTAAATAGCTTTGATTTTTGACGGGTCTAGCTCAATAGCACGACGACTGATGATGAAGCCTAGCAACTTCCTAAAAGGGACTCCGAAAGCACATTTTGCTGGATGACAATTTCAAATTGTATTTTCGAAGCCGGTCAAAAAATTTCTTCAGGTCTGCCATGTGATCTGAATTCCTTTTAGATTTGATTATAACATCATCCACATACACCACTATTTTCTTATGTATCATGTCATTTAAAAGAGTCGTCATGGACCTCATGTAGGTAGCTCGAGCGTTCTTCAAACCAAATGGCATTATTTTGTAGCAATATATCCCCCATGGCGTGATAAAGGCTGTTTTTTCGGCATCCTCTTCGTCCATCCATATCTGGTGGTATCCTGCGAAGCAATCCACAAAGGATTGGAGTTCATGCTTGGCGCAGTTGTCGATTAGTATGTATATGTTGGGCAATGGGAAATCATCCTTAGGACTTGCTCTATTCAGATCTCGATAGTCAATGAACACTCTGACTTTCCCATCCTTCTTCAGAACAGGCACAATGTTGGCTAGCCAGGTTAGGTACTTGACCACTCAAAGGACCCTGTCTTTAGTTTGCTTAGTAACCTTCTCCTTTATTTTCAGACACATATCTGGCTTGAATTTCCTGAGCTTCTGCTTTAGTGGAGGACACATGGGGTTGGTTGGTAGCTTGTGAGCTACTATGGATGTGCTTAACCCAATCATGTCATCATAGGACCATGCAAAAATATCCCCATATTCTTTTAGAAACTGGATATACTATACCTTCTCTGACGGTGATAGATTAATGCATATGCGAGTTTCCTTGAACGTTTCAGAATCTTCTAAGTTAACTGCCTCAGTTTCTTCCAAATTGGACTTCGATTTATTTTCAAAATTCTCTAGTTATTTGACAATTTCCTTAGGTATTATATCATTTTCCAAATCTTCCGAATCACTTTCCTTAGTTAAAACAGCCACATTTGGGCATGACTTGTGTACATAAGCTTTTAGACAAATCTATTTTCGAAGTCAATTTGGAAAAGTTGAATCAAGGCTCATTTCATAACCTTTCTGACATCATTTCATTTACTTGGCACCATTGGCCACAAGTATAACTTTCATTATTGTCACGGTGGCCACGCTTTACATCTCCAACCCACTTCTTTCACTTTCAAGCATCCTTATAGATTATCAACAACAAGGCATTTCAAATCAAGACTTTTGGTACACATATGAGCAATAGGAGTTTTAGACGCATGGAGTATTCTTTCCAAGTTAAGCATAATGGACTTTCATTTGAAATAAGACTCAAAGCCATAACATTTTAATACACATATCATTCTTGAACACATTCCTAAAGGATAATATAATGTGATAGGAACATTCAGAACACATTTGGAATACATAATTTTTGATACTTTCCTTACTCAGGACAATCAAATGTATTGGGAACAACTTGGAACATGGGAATAAGGAACTTGAGCCAACCATACTTGAAACTTACGGGAACATCATGGAATTCAATTCTAAGAGAGTAGTTTAGCTAACATACCTTGTTTGAGCTTTCCTTAAGGTACTACAATGCCCTAACACCTCTAGCAATTTCAATCTATAGGAAGATAGCGAAAATAGGACAATAATTAGAAGGATTCTCATGACATAAGTCTCTTGGGAATTTTGTCAAACACCTATTATGCAAAATCGACTACAAATATCTACAAGGGTAATCCTTTCCTCCCTCAACCAATTCCAACAAGAAACTACCTAAAATAGATCAACAACTCTACATACTACTTCCTAATGTGACATGCATGGCCTATCTCTAACCCCACAACATGCATAAATCAATAACTTCTTGCATAAAAGTCAGTAGAGTGACTTACCCGGATAGATGATGGTTTAGGGAGTGACTTCCATGGTTGAAGATTTTGGGCAAGATTAGATGAATAAAATTGCTAGGTCTTCTCCCTATCTCTCTAAGATACCCTCACTTCTCTTTAAAAATATCAGATTTTACCTTGTAAAATGACCCCCTAAGGCCTTATATCAAAATAGGGTCAAATAAGAAAATTTCCAAAAATGACCCCCGAAGTCAATTATGTGGTGCCATTATGTGGTAGCAGAATCGATATGTGGCCAGCAGAATAGACATGTGGGTAGCAGAATTGATTATGTGGCCAGCATAAGGGATATGTGGGCAGCAAAACTTTTATGCATCCAGCATAATGATTATGCGGCCAGCAGAATGGTTATGCGGCCACCAGAATCATTATGCGGCCAGCATAATTGTTTTTCAAAAATTGCCCATTTCCGGTTCCACTCTGCGATGCTTATGCGGTCCGCAAAACAGTTCCGCGGTCGTAAAAATGACCGCAGAATCACTTTCTTGTGCCACATATTCCCATCAACACTTCAGTGCATTCTTCACACCAAAAAGTCCGTACCGTGGCTCGTTTTCTACAATACTCAAACACATTAGCCTACCACGACCCCACGAAACCTTAAATTCCTAGATAAAATATTTTGGGGCTTTATATTCTCCCCCACTTAGGATCATTCGTCATCGAATGAAAAGTAGAGTCCTCGGATGGTTAACGTATCAAATTCGAACTCGGAGAAAATGCTGGAACTGCTGCCTCTGGTGTGATCGCACATGTGAGGGTCTTGGCAGCAGGTGCGGCATGGTTGGCGCAGATGCGGAACTGGGGCTGGCCTAGGGAGAACTCAGGTGCGAAGGGGGAATGCGCATCAGTGAGCCCGTAGATGCGAGAAGGTCGTCGTAGATGCAAGGATTTGGAGGGCTGGCTGTGTACGCAGCTGCACATTTTCGTCTGCAAAAGCGGATGCACAGGTGCAAGCCCAAGCACCGCAGGTGCGGAAATGCCTGGGCAGTGTTAAAAACGAGGGTTTCCGAGAATTTTTTCTCATTTTGGACATTTTAGAGCTCGGCTCGGTCGATTTTGGAGAGGAAGTTTTCCACACAACTTGGGGTAAGTGTTCTTGACTCCCATGTGATTATATTACATGAATTAATCTTCGTTTTTGGCTTTAGATTATTGATTTTTCAAGAGAAATCGGAGGAATTTTCTACAATTTCATAAAATGAATTTTTGAGATTTGAACATCGATTCGGAGTCGGAATTGAGTGAAATTAGCATGGTTGAACTTGTAATTGGATTGGTTGTCGGATTTTATGAGTTTCACCGGATTCCAAGATGTGGTCCCCATAGGCAATTTTTTGAGTGTAATTTCAGATTTTGTGGGAAAATATTAGTATTTTGATATGGAATTAAATCCTATAAATTGTGTGGACTGAATCAAATTTATTGTGGCTAGATTCGAGCCGTTCAGATGTTGATACACAAAGAATGGGATTTCTGGAGCATTATTTAGCTTGC